TGTGTGTATATATATATACATATATACATAGTAAAGTATGTATGTATGTATATATATATATATATATATATAGTAAAGTATAGTGAAGTATATGGTATGTTTTAGGATAGTATTTCAGTTTTTTTATATAACTATTATATAATAACAGTTAAAGGATATCTTCTATATTACTGATTTAAAAATATTTTATTTTTATTTTTTAAGGATTTTATTTATTTATTTGATAGAGCAAGAGTATAAGCAGGGGGAGCTGTAGAGGGAAAGGGAGAAGCAGGCTCCCTGCTGAGTGGGGGGAGCCCGACTTGGGGCTCAATCCCAGGACCCTGGGATCATGACCTGAGCTGAAGGCAGACGCTTAACTGACTGAGCCACCCAGATGCCCCTAAATATATTTTATTTTTATAAAAAGATTCCTATTTTACTGAAGATGGGCTCTAGGAGGACCTTGAGGAATCATTACTATTAGCCTAACCTGAACCCTAAACCCCAGCACTGTTAACTAGACTCTTGTCTGTTCCCTCTGATCAAATCCCTGACTTGGGTGTACCTTATCAAAGGCTTCTAGGATCATGACACATTTTGCACTTGACAGTTAAATACCCACAGTGCTAGAGCCTGGCAGTAGGCAAAGCTGGGGTCAAGGACCCTGTCTCAAGCTGGAGGAGGTCAGGAGGTGAAAGGAGCAACAGGAAGTTCAGAAGTGTGATGAACCAAAAGCAAGGGGTCAGAAGGGCCACAAGAGAAGCACATGACAAAGCAGTAGAGGACATATGAGCCATCAAACTTAGCTCCAGCAGACCATGTCTTGCTGGCCTAGAGCTCCTTAGAGAATGAGAAGTGAGCCTTCTGGAGCATGCTTCTGCATTTCAGAAACAAAGAGCACAACCAAAACTCTTTATTTCAGAAAATTTCAAACACATACAAAAGTAGAGCGAGGAGTATAATGAACCTCTGTGTGCCCATCACTTAACTTCAACAATCATCAATATTTTTCCATCAGTTTTTCATCCATCTCCAACCTCCCGCCTTCCCAACTCTGCCATCTTTTCATTTCCCTGGAGTATTTAAAAGCAAACCTACCCACTCTATGGGAGAAGATATTTGCAAATGTCTTATCAGATAAAGGGCTGGTATCCAAAATCTATAAAGAACTTACCAAACTTAACACCCAAAGAACAAATAGCCCATTCAAGAAATGGGCAGAAGATATGAACAGACATTTCTCCAAAGAAGACATACAAATGGCCAACAGACAAATAAAAAACATGCTCCGCATCACTGGGCATCAGGGAAATACAAATCAAAACCACAATGAGATACCACCTCACAC